AGCCAAAACCACGGTACTGCAATTAATTTATTGGTACCATTCCGAATATTCTTTAGTCATGTGATGACGAGTTCAAACAGAATGCAAATGGAAGGAACATGCTCCCTTCGCGAATATTTCAACGAGCAGCGATCCAAACTGTTCCAAGTTTGTGACAGAAAGTTATCCATATTTTCAAGAATATTTCTTTCTCGTCGAAAGATTTCATCCCATGGATCAGTGCAAAACTCATAAAATGCTCGTACCACAAGTATTTGAATCTACATGTTGAGTTCTACCAGAAATATCGAAGCTATGCCACTAGTTTTGATCAGTTTGAATCGCGGTACATTTGGATATCCACAAAAAAACATAATTTCCTCTCATTTGCTTTTTGTTTCAGTTCGTTCATCACATAAAGCGAAATGATAGCAGCAAACAAATCGCTGTGCCGTGGACTTGGTTTAGACTGAGGGATGACACAAGTGGGTTTATGAGATCAACCATTCAATTGATATATCGGATGACAGTATTTTCTTCTCGTTATCAATTCGCTAAATCAAATGCTAATCAAAGCATAAAAAAGTTCAATTTTTTTATCATTCCGATTAGGAAAGTGAATCGGGCCAGTGTTGTTCAATGAATCATATTGTTTGCACATGCTCTTGGAACATATTATGTCAATTCCTCAAAATTTGCAGTCGGCTCTCAGACTATGAGGGTGATGTGACGTTGATATCCTTCGGAACAGCCACGTGTGATTCAATTACAATGTTGGTTCTGTTATTTGCGTCAATTATCGTTGATACACATAAAGCGCGATATAGTTGTTTTTTCAAGACTGATGGAGTGATGTTTCGTTTAAAAATTCATGGGTTACGTGCTTTGATGAAGTGAATACACAAGTATTCTGACATCTTCTCCATGAGTTCACAACATGAAATGTTGCTCAATTATAATGTGGGATTCATAAAGAATAATTCGAGAAAATTCATATTCGAAAAAATTAATCAAATGGTATAATCTAGTCAGAAGAGATATATGCATTGAATTGTCACGCGTCGTAATGACACATAAATGGAGAGTTTCCTCTTGAGATACATGAAACTCCGAGAAATTTGAATTGAACTATGAATTCCCATTGAATTATTAATACACATTCATCTGGGACTATTCCATTGTATGCCACTCGCATTTTATTTTTGGCTATATCATTTTCTTGGTGTGTATGTGGATTAACTTCTAGTCGAATGAAAACGATTTTTTGAATGAGTTTTGAAAGTAGAAATGAGCTAACAATATGAATTATCATTGATGACATTGAGTGTCTTGTTCATTATGACATTGCTTCACAATGACGGCTCAGCACTCTTCTGAAATCTTGCATCTATCAAATGAAACGAGTTCAGTTTGGCCCTTCTGATCGATTTTGTATGCTCCAAGGTTGATAACGCCTTTTGGTTCGAGAGGGTTCCTCAAATGAAACTGCTTCTCCTACTTTCTCCTCATCACCTCCTGCTTTTTTTATTACTGTCTACAAGAAGGAGCCTTCCTTTATTTAGGTGCTGATCATTTTTTAGTGAATTCCTCATCCCTTCACTCATGAATATCCTTGACTCTATAGATGCATGTTCAGTTTTTTGAAATAGCATGTAAATTGGTGGCCAGGTAGCCGTGCGGACAAGGTGTCAGTATTCTAATCCGCATTCGCTTGCTAGTCGTAGGTTCAATTCCCTGCGACGGATAGAACATTTTCATATCAACAAACATCAACAAAGAAATCTCAGATCAAAATTATACTCAATGCAGTTGCAAGGGGATCATTCATCATGACATTTCACGATTCGGCGTACATAAAAGGAAATGGTATTGAAGGAAATATTTCCTCGACGGTTGTGGAACTCGGAAGACCTTCGAAAATGCATTTACAGTGTGGACGTGGAAGGATCTTCCTCGCTTCATCATTCAAACGGAAGAAGGGTATCTCTTCTAATGATATTTGACATAAAAAAGTCTGTGTTCATGTGGCCAAGTGTCAAGAGGACACCATCAACTCTGTCTCAAATGACAAGTGGAGTCACTCCAATGTGGGTTGGAGAAAGGTCGAAGTATATAGGTATCATGTCATTCAAGTTATATTATTCGACATATCTATGTTAGTAGGTACCAATTAGTCAAAATCATTAATATTCCAAATTCATGACATGAATAATAAGATAAAATACATTATATTGATATAGCTGACATATGAAATATTTTTCAACATCATTTATATCCAAATTTCATTCAATAATTCCGATTTCGAAATAATAAATATTAATCGTTTTATATTGATTGAAACTGATAAACCTTGAGAGTCTGTGAATAAGACGTTTCAAAGAACTTCCATACATTGTCTTGGACGATGAGACCAGGAATGGACCTTGAATGGACGTCCTCGGAACTTTCCTTGCTATATGGGTAGGAACATGTTCAGTTCCTCAAAATATCAGGTGGATCTCAGGTCAAAATTATACTCAATTCAGATAAAAAGGCGTACATCGAAGGAAAATAGTATTGAAGAAAATATTCGGCATTCATCGAAGGAAAATAGTATTTAAGACAATATTTTTCGACAATTGGGGAACTCAGAAGACGAGAAGGGATAAACAGTGAGGACGTGAAAAGTCCTCACTCCTTTTTTCAATCGAACGGAGCAAGCTAGCGTGGTCCGGTTAAAATCAGGGAGAAAGGTACCACTTCTGATGATTGTAAGCCAAGTGTCAAGAGAACACCATCAACCTCGTTTCAAAATGGAAAGTAGAGTCACGTGGTACCTGGTTTTGAAGGTATTTCGATTATCTATCCAACACCGCTTCGTATGTGAAAATTCACAAGGGCGTTTCAAACTGACATTATTTTTTCATTACTGACCTTCATGATATTGTCAATGAGAGGAAGAAACCAAAATTCGTTCGTATTGGAAGCAGTAATTAGGTGAACAATTTGGCTAGAGCCTTTTTCATTGCGTCTGACAAGGTCTATTGTTGATTTCTCCTGATGGCTATCAATTAAATTCGCAGCTATGATATATAGTGTCTTCCGGCAATTGGGCATCATGTGGAAGAAATTCTGATAACAATTCATTTGGAAATTCGACTCAAACATTGAGTTTGGCTACGAAAAAGATTGATAATCGCTCGTTCGATCGAATTCACTTGATTTCTATAACATGTTGGAAGTAGCATTTTTTATAACTAATTGCTCGAAATAGGCTAAGATATCCGTTCGAATTTTGCGAATGTTCACATAAAAAATATGTTCTTGTTCCAATTCTATGAATGTGTCTTGAATTACCCTAATAGCACACAACGTCCTATTGACGTCCCTATTTGGAACAATTCACGTCCGAATGTCCCGAACCAAAAATAAGTGTCCTTGGGACGTCCCATCAAGTGCATCCCATGCAATGTACGAGCAAGGACGTCCACGGAATGTCCCAGCTGGTACATCATTTCAAATGTCCTAGAAATAGCATCCCTTAGACGTCCCACGTGGTACATATTGTAGAATGTCCATGCAAGCACGTCCTTGGCATGTCTCTGATGGGATATGATTTTGAACGTTCTTTTAGGAACATCCATCGGATGTCCCGAGTAGTACATATTCTGGCATGACTTCAGATCTTATATAATGTCGTTTCTAGACTACCATGAAATGTCCATGATGGTACATTGCTTCAAATATCTCTGCACAGACGCGCTTAATATTTCCAGGATTGTATAAAAATCGAAATGTCCCTAAGGGACATCTTTCGAATGTCCCTCAGGAATATCCGTCGGATGTCCCAATTGGTACATAAACTGTACTCTTCTAATGTCCTAGAAATAACGTCCTATGGACTCCCAGTCGGTACTTTCAATATGTTGTCCCTTCGAGGACGTTTACTTACACCTCGCCGACGAATGATTTCTTGTAGGCTATAACTACTCCTCTCAATGTCCTTCACGTCAGTCCATTGGACATCCTTGGGAAACTTTTTGGGGACCTTCTACAGACCATCAGCTCAACTGGATGTTCTTATCAGTTATGCAAGGAGGACTCAGAAAAATTGAAATTCAAGAATGAATTGTACGTTCCTGGGACATCATATGGACATCCAATTGATATCCCTTAGCGTTGCTGATAGATTGTCCAATAGATGTCCTGAGAATGTCCTCTGAAGTGCTTGATGAGGAATACTGTAGGATTTAGGTATTCGATAGTTGTCCCAGGGACATCCCTCTAGGACGTCCCTAGTTGGTCCTCAAGTGGGACATTTGTGCGTTCCACAAACGACCAATGGACGTCCACGATACCGAATTCGAACGTCCTATGGACGTCCTGAATGTTCCGACAGGAAGTCCTAGGGATATTCATGGGACATAAGTGTGTTATTAGAGTAGAGTTTCATCATAACTCTCAGATTCAGATATTATTTTCAATTCCTACGTGATGTTTGAAAGTATAAATAATCCACTTTTTCATTACTGAAAACATCTTCTTGACGTATATTTCATACTTAACTCGAATATAATGGTGTCTATTACAACATGAACTCATTTCATCATAAATGTTCAGTTCCTGAATTCATGACCTGGCTGACGGGTTCCTTCGATCAGCTCTTTATCGCTTTGTCTAACTGACTTTCTCAATACAAAAATAGAACTGATCGTAGGAAGAAACATTATCTTTTGATAGATATAGAGAACAGTTCATCTCAACTCATCAATTTCTATTTGATTTTCATCATATAAAGAATAATTTCTATTCAAAATTCTGAACATAACTTGAAAGTGTTAACCCGATTCATTTTTCGATATAAGTTATCGTTCGTGATGGATCATGATTATTTTTATATGCATAGAGTCACGATCACCATACCCTCACTTCCATACAATAAGTAAAGCAACTAGCAATATCTTCGCACAGATAATACATAATATGTTCAATGGACTGTCTGCACATATTTTCTTTGATTTACTGTTTTGTTTTAAAACCATTTTTTTCACATTCCAGCCGATTTCGCTTACTGTTCGCAAGGACCTGTTTTCATCAACCCCAACAATGTGGTGTCCGTTCCATCGCAGACGGCAGCCGACCAGGGAAATTACGTCACTCAAACTGTCTATGGCTTCCTGGATTTCACGACGACGATAGGCAACACGGTGATGGTTTTCTCACCTCAAAGCGCCGCTGTCGCAGCTCCTCTAGGTAATCGATATGAGTAACACGAGACTATAAAATAAGTGCCCGCTTCAATCCTATATTCACCATGATAAAGACTTGATCACTGGTTTTCTTACCACATAGCGCGGGTATCGCAGATACTCTAGGAAATCAAAATGAGTTACATTTGATTATGAAGTATATACTTTTACCCCATTTGAACCATGTTTAGCTGCTCCATAGTCTTGCATTACTCTTTGCAATGACTTGACTATTGAAATGATCCCACATATATTCAACTATTTGATTGTTTGATCTATTGTTTTGAGTTGAGACCCCACAAAATCTCGGATAATCACGTGAGTTCTTGTTCTTTGGAAAGGGAAGTTCTTGAATCCTGCTTATCTTATTTTTTTGGAGACTTTTTGGGTTTTGGATCCGTTCGTCATGGGCGAAACGTTTTCATAAATTCCTACAATTTTCAATTTTACAAATGGATCCAAAACCCAAGAAGCCCATAAAAAATAAGTTCTTGTTCTGATTCCATGTAAAGATTTATGATCACTTCTTTCATATCCATGATATCCCAAACATTCATATCCGAAACAACTTTTTGATTTGATATTGAGAAGTTATGGAGATTTTTTTATGTTCAGGGAATGTCATATTCTCCCGATCTCCTTCTTTGTCAAACATGTAGTTTTGACGTATGAGCCTCGCGAATTGAACTGGGCATCCATGAAAGAAATACTTTAACACCACGATAAGGTGAAATTAATTATTTTAACCTCCTTGGAATATGTATAGGATGTACTCTTCGCTTCGTTCGCATCGTTATATTGTGAATATAACACTGAAACAATTGAAGCACATCATTGAGCTCTTCAGACCAGCATTTCTACATCTACCATGCACCTTGACTTCCTCCAATGAAGTTCCTGATTATAATCAGACTGCTTTTGTACTTCCTTTTATCCTCACTTCCTAGATTTATTTGCATTACCTCAATGTTGAACCCCTTGATTCAGGTGAAACAAATGTTAGCTCTTTCGAAGGAGTATTCAAAATCCATAAGTGTAAAATAAATGAGCATATTCAAATGATTCCAATATCGAGAAGAGAAGAAGTTCAGCAGACAAATTCTTGTCAAGACGGAAAATGGATGCGAAATATCTGGTTTGAATTGTTCGATAATATGATTCAGTTGTTATGATATGTATCTCATTGTGAAAACTGCAACACAGGACGATAATACGGTGGGGACAGAGAATTTCGTCCGAAAATTCTGAAACGACATCAAAATTCAAGCTAATTCCTTAACAAAGGTACAACCATGCGACGAAACGTGAACTTGGTCCACCAGGCTGAGCGAAGCGTATTGTGTTGAGTTAAATAATGTAGTCACTATTTTGCTTCTTCATGTGGTGAGGAAAATAAAATTACCCTGAAGATTCACATTCAACTTCAGATTATTGCGAATTCATCTCATAGGTTGATGAGTTCCCTGTGAGGAAATAAATTCATAACAACTTCAGCTAGATGAATCTGTGAAAAACTGAAAGATTAAGTTACTATACACCAACTTTTGATAATTTTAATCGACTGAAGCCATTCGATTTTATTCCTTTTAACCTGGTAATATAACATGGGCAAATGTCCTCGATACGGAATAGTACTTTGGGTTCATTGAGAGAGATAATATTCATACAAACGTCAGTGAAATTCATCTGTTGAAAACTGAGGAATTGAGTAAGTATAGTAACGAAATATATTTTTACCAATTTGAGTGGAATAAAGTGAGGCAAAAATGATAGTTTCAACTACCACCAGCTGCCTCATTATTGTTATGTATCACCCAAGTTGGTATCTTGTATTATATTTAGCGTAATATTGATCCAGTTCTTTTCAAATAATATTTCGATTAGGGATTTTATTACTGAATACCAGTTCAGTTCAGTCAATCAAAAACAAAAAAAAATTGGAAATCATCAAAGCTCTACTGGTATTATGAGTGAGAATTTTTTCAGGGCGAACATTCTTCAATTAACCAGAATCTCAATGGAATACTGATCTGGTACATGTTTAACTCATTGATTAACGCACTTACTCAGAATTATACAAGATGATCAACTCTACTTTCGAAAACAAGCAGAAAAAATCGCCTTTTCTGCACTATTTGAACAATGAATCCTGATGAGTCACATATCTCTCCAGATCAACAATTATTACGATAATTTGCAAATTCGTCATCTCTTTTCACTTGAACTCGAAACTCTAGTGTGCCGAATATAGAACGATTCGTTTGAAATAATTGTCGGATTAGTCATTAGTCCATGTTATCCTGAAAATTATGCGCTTGGCTGAAAATAAGTCATACGATGCTTGATGAAAGCAATTTGAAGTAAAATAATCTCATTTAGAAGTAACAATGATTATTGACATTGTCATTATTATCATTACAGGATTATCGAAGCAGTCGACAGAGAATACATCTTCCAAGAACGTCATTGAGACTAAGCCAATAGCCTCCATCAAAAAAATAGGGATTCAACCAAGCAGGACACAGATATCAAACGAGAAGATACTTGATGGTAAAACTCCTTCAGCTATTCAGGTTAAGTCAAAATCTCCTCCTACGGTCATGACAAAAGTGGATGTTCAATCTTCAGCCATAACAAGAGTCAACGTAATTAGCGAAGAAGCAAAACCTGCTAGAGAGCCTCATCCTCCCCTACTAGTGAGCAAGGTGCAGGTGAGTATTGTTTCATTGAGCTGTTATATTGAATATACAGGATGGTACATCTCACTCCCCGTCTTCTATACCTCAATTATCAGTTGAGTCTGTATTCTGATATTTCGCAGACAACGATAATTGTCCCATAGGGCTTATACCAGGAAGATAATTTCAATTATACAGGGTGTTTTTCTAATGGCATGTCATATATAATGTTGCGTATTCGAGTGCTTTCAGTGGTTACCTACATACTCCTAGAATTCAATTGAAATCGGTTCAGTGATATTCACCTAAGAAAATATACACTGCAAAATAAGTTGGGTTTGGCAACGGCATCCGTTTTCAAGATACAAGGTGTTGAAAAAATAATGTTTCCACACATTTCTCACGATTGCGTCGAAATTACTGGCAAAATTGTGATGAAATTCTGTATGGATGTTTTTTGGACCCTGGAACATCGCCTGAATTCGTTTTTATATCTGACTCTCATAGAGGGCACTAGTTACACGGTTCATATCGATTAGTTTGGAACATAACTTTCTTGAGGTTGAATTCTTCAACCCAAATTTGTTGTGAAATCAAGCGTCATTTAATTCCACACCAAAAAGACACTCCTAGAAAAACTCGATACTGTTGTGTTCCGTTTGCGGAATATTTCGATTTGAAAACAATGGTGTTGCTTGTATATAATGAATTTTATTGAGATCAATTACTTGTCTATTCAGATTCAAAAACGATTATATCATTCTTGTGCTGTGATTATTGATTGAACAAAGATTCACGTAGAAAATTGAGAAATATTTGACTAGAAACATAAAATATTGAATCTGAAAATGAGTAAGTCCTCCGTTTCCACGAATACACGATTCGATACTTTTTTTCATCAAAACACTATTTTTTTAAACGGTTGGGGATCAGCTGTGAGGTCATCTGAGTGATGTTCAACTCTGAATTGCAATTCTAGACGTGAATCCACCTCTGTAGAATACACTTTTTGCTTGATACAACGAAACCGTGTAATCCATGTTTTTAGTAAAATTTGTTTCAATGTTATTCTTGTGAATCATTGTTTAATCAATAAGATAAGCATTGAAAATGTATTGATTTTCTCGGTTTGCAATGAATAGGTGATGATTTTTCATAATACTCACTCTTATACATAGCTTTATACCAGCAACATTTATCACTTCATCATTATCAAATCGGAATATTTCGACAACGGAACACAGTATAGAGTTTCACCAAGAGTACCCTTTCGGTGTGAAATTAAATGATATTCAAGTTCTCATCGAATTCGGATTGAAAAATCTAACCTCGAAAAAATAATGTTTAAAACTACTAGGTACGAACCGTGTAACTAGCGCCATCTATGAGAGTCAGATAGAAAAATAAATTCATGCTATTTGTCAGATTCCAAAAAAACAACCATACAAAATTTCATTACAATGTTGCCAGTAAAAAAATAATTTCTTCATCACCTTGTATCTTGAAAATGGATGCCGTTTCGACATTTTTCACTGAGCAAATCCAACCATTTTTGCAGTGTTCTACCTACCCGAGTTTTTTTAAAACACCCTGTATAACAAAAAAAAATCAATTTTGCACCACTGGTAAAATACATTGATAACAAGAAATAGAGTGCCTGGTCAATGAAATCATCAGAGATACATACAAATAAGGCCTAAGAGGATCGCTAACTGAGTTTGATTGACAAGAATCATCACGGGGTGTGTTTCGAAATCTGAAAAGTTCGCCACAAAATTTTGTACAACCTGTTATATTTCGTGTCAATCAAATTCTGACAGAGATCCTTTTTGGCCTCATTCGATATGTATCTCTATTGAGCAGGCACTCTCTTTTTTGTCTTTATTGTTTTTGATCAGTTCGTGGACACCCTGTATACTCGAAATTATTTTCCTAGTATCCGCCCTTTGATACAATTGGAGTCTGAAAAATATCAAAATCCTGACTCAACTGATGACACCGGTGAAACCGGAAGTGGTAATAACTTTTATGGTTCCATTCCGAATTTCAACCACTCACCTCTGGAACTGAAAAATAAGAAGAGGGTGTACCATAATTCTGTTACCTTCGATATATGGAGATGCACTTCATTACATCATCACATCTTCCCATGAATATTAGATGAGAAATTTCAACAATGGAAGTGACAGTTATGACCTTCCTAGTCTCACGTGCAAATCTTCCGATATAGTTATTTATGTATCAAGGGCGTAAAGTGGGCGTTTATGGCCTGTGGCGTGAATATTGGCCCGATGGCGTTAGCCAAGGGCCATTACACGCTGAAGGCCATAAACGAATTTCACGCACGAGATACATACAAAATTTTATGCACTATTGGTTTATTTTCTGACTCATAAGTGATGACTATAGATTTCGATTAACTAATATTCCCCAGGATTTAATTTGTTACGTAAAAATTCAGTAATCAAGAGAAGCGTAATGTTCATGGATAATTTACATATGAAAATTATCGTACGAATATAGCAATGATCGTAATAGTGAAACTCTTTCAGTTCTAGAAGAGATTCATTCTTCAGAATTTTACAATATGCATACCCAGTATATATACCTAACTTATTTTGACGTTGTAAATCAATCTGATGGTTGTTGTCTATAGCAATACATCCAATAAACGAGCTGAATTGTCTTTCTTTGATTGAAAAGTAAAATTAGTGATAATAATAATAGCGAGACTATGGAATCGGATGGAGAAGAAGTTTATGATATACCGCTGGATATATCAGAATCTAGGAATATGATCATAGGTTTTTCATAAATTGATATGTGGATATAAGGTGACTGAGAACAGCGGGCGGTAAAGTGCGACTTAACGCCCGAAAAACCGGGTGGTAAAGTGCACTTTATGGCCCGCTTGTGCATAAAGTATTTTATTTGGTTTCCTCCATTTCAAATTTATGAGTATTTCCTCATCAGGTATATATTAACTCGTCATTCACTCTTTTTGTTTCATTTGATTGTTTCAAACGTTAGGAAACCTTTACAACGTGGCTTTTGATACGATTCAATTTTGAAAATTCATTGATATAACTCATATACCAATATGAGAGTTGGAAATAACATCATTATGGATATTTTCACTCTTCCATAGAAAAAGGAAGGAATTGAATCTGATTGAATCCTCATTTCAAAGCATATTGTCACGGCAACATTCATGTTATCCGTGAATCATGATAGAGGAAGCCGAAATCATGAGGCAATCCAGAGTCAGAATGTCCCTTGATCTCTTTTGCGGAGTCGTTCAGTCATTCTTTTCGATAATGAGAAATCATAGAGAATAACAGATTTGACATTATTCTCAGTCATTGAGAGATGTTTATTCGAGCCAAAAACGAATCAATGTTGAATGGGTGAAAAATACGTTTCTCATTGATTTTTCAACGTTACCAGTCCGGTTATGACAGTAGTAATAATCACGTGATTATTACTCATTGTATCAATTCATAGTATGAATATCAGTGATGGTTATTTGATGAGTGAAAATGAAGAAGTTCCTACTCAAGATATAATAACTTCATATCGTAGAATGGCTTATTGCGTAGTAGTTTTTTTGGATCTAATTCTTCTCAAAGTTACCTATGAGGTTTAGCAACTTTGAAAAGACTATGTTGGTATTGCTGATACCTCCCCAAGAGAGCTTCACTGTAGCAATCACTGAATGGTAACCACAAAGGTTTCTACGACGTCATCCATCACCTGATGATTCAGTGAATTCTTGATAATATCTTAAGTAACAAATTGGGGATTTGTACTCAACCAATTCGCAGTGAGTAGAAAATAATATCTGATCAATTTCTGATAGTGACGCCAGCGTTGAAAATACAGAATCGTGACTAACAAGTTCCAAAAGTTTCTCACCATATAATTTATTGAACAGTATCGAATTTTGGTTCCTGTTCATAAACATCGATATTCCAACAATAATATCATAATTGTTCGATGAGAAAATACATATTATTTAAATGAAACATGATTCACCATGATCTTTGGGAAAAAACCTGATCAAATGAAACCATATCCCCATCGGAAAGAGCTGTATTATGTGGGCGCATCTTGATTTTTAGACAAATCATCAATTTCATCGATAAACTGGCTGTTATTTTTGATGAAGTATCAATTATTCCGCGAGTTTGAGTTTGCATTCATTGATGAATATATTTCTGTTATTTATAATTCATATGCGACCCCTATGATTGATATTATAAAGAGAGGAGAGAGTTATGCAACCAGACAGTGTTTTAATGAAGGCGATTAATGATCAAGATGTTTCAACGTGCGAGAAAAGCGAGCGCAATAATGTTCGAGATCATTGTTCGCCTTTGAATCAATATACGAGTTGGTTACGAACTTTCACGTAGACTGTTTTTCCTGCAATGAGAAGAACTTGGTACGCGAATTCGGAAGCATTGACTCTGAAATAAGTGACATTTGACATTGGTCGAAAGATTCAACAATGAAATAAATTCCTCCGGTTGAAAAACAAGGATTCAAAGCGTTTTCCGATAACATCCATATTTTCGATTCGAATGCAGATTACGTAAGTTATTGCATGAACAGTAAATGAATGCGGTGTATTCTTGGTCGCCTAGCCTACAATTGTACATTGTCAGACAAATTAAGCTTTAATAGGGGTCTTTAACGATCAATTTCATGAACATTGTGTTCACTTCTTGTTTCGAGGTCGACAAAAACGATATTTACATGGGGTGGAAACAAACAACAGAGAATCAGTAGTCATCAACTACATCTTAACGTGATTTTGGCATCGACGGGACGTGAGCATTATGTAATTGTGTATTCTAGCTACGTCGGCTAACCGTCACACCCACTCGTAATTTGTTTCACCATTTTGGTCAAGAATACGTAGTAACTACGTAATCATGAAGGAACTGCAACTAGTAAATATTTCTGAAAATTCGACTCAATAGTCGTCATTGAGTAATCACGACTATAAATGCTAGTTGTGTGAGTATACACAGTCGTTTAGGATCACTTCGACAACATTTTAATATGGCAGAATTTGTGAATGATAGTGCTTTGATCATCTCATCATCTCAATAATCACGAACAACATTTTTATGACGATTTCACAATCAGGAAGCATTCCTTTGTCACAGGTAGTTGAAGGACCGTCCAGCAGACCTGCCGCATCTTCGAATATCATAACCAAAGTTGAAGTTTCTGGCGGGCAGAGCAAGTTGCCAGAGCCAATAGAGATGAAGAGCCGGAAGGACGTTGAATCCGGAATAGTTTCGAGTATCGTCCAAGTCAAATCAGATGAAGAGCCAGCGCTCATAATGGGAAACAATATCGCTGAGCCTGAATACGATTTTCTATCAAGGCAGCCATCCGAAGTTGTAGAGGAAACATACAAGGTTGGGAAACACAGGATTGGTCAATTGTTAATCAATCTTCAATAACCATAGTCATATGAGTTACACATTTTGTTCGTTCATATCGAATTCGTACGAGAAAATCAATGAATGAGAAGGAGACTTTTTCGAGTAAGGTGAATAATTTCGGTGTTTACGTATCTCCAAAGTGTTCGAGAAATTATTTTCACTAGCCTCAAGTATAAGAAATTCATTCTGAACAATATTTGATGAAAAATTCATCAATTCGATGACTGGCAAATTTTCGGAATCCTTCATTCACTGACGAATGAATCCATGAATATGAATGGGTAGAAGAGATATTTTTCAGTTTTCTGAATAAGTATACAATTTACGAAATATGAGTATTTTTATCCGCAGGCGTATATCACTTCAGGATAATCTATAAATGAGACACAGTAGATACAAGGAGATTCAATGATTTCTGTTTCATTCAAGGTAATCAATCTGAAACCAAGTTCGAAGTTCCTTCTGAAACATCGCCCCTCATCAGAAACGAAGAAAAATGCAGGAAACAAAAGAGCAGGTGTCGATCATCCTACTGGATTAGTTACAAAATTAGGTGGAACGGTAGTGAAAGACGGTGTGACAACCGTGGTAGAGACTAGTGTTATCGGTACCTATATATCAGGTGAGTTGAGAAATAATTTCATATCAGAAATGCACAGGCTCCCTATACTATCATGGTCGATGTACTTGAATACTCAATTCACTCTTAGTACATATCTCTTTATTTATGATCGAGTTTCTCACTGATAAAAAACGTCAAGGTTATTCCAATCATTTCTCGTCTACTGATGAAAGTGCTGGTCGTTACGAGATTCGCTAATTAAAATAGCTCGAACTTCAGCAAACTGAAATGAAGAATAAAAAAACTCAACTCCCTTCCAGGCAAATACGCCCAAGTCTTGCAAAGCACTTCGAGGAAAATCAATCCCACTCAAAGCCTCCGAATATTAAAAACGGCAGCGCCTTCATTAGGAAAAGGAAATAAGCACCGTCAAATAGAGCCGACTCCAGCAGCCTCCTATAACGGAGACCCCACAACTGAACTCACTGCTCTAAACTCCATAAAATCTACGCGAAAAGCAAATTCGAACGGGGGAGGCTCGTTCAAGAGATTCAAAAACCGACACAAAGACACAGAAGAAGGAAACAATGATCAGGAGCTGGCACAGCCGCCTAGCAATTACAAGAAGTCGCAAAAAAATAGGAGTCAGTCGCAGAATGCGAGGAACAGCAAGTGAGTGTCGCTTTTGTATGAGGTGATTATTTATAATGATTGAAGTTCTTGAGAGTTTTCTTAGTTTTTTGAAGATACCTGTTCGTGACATTCGCTAGATCCGATTTCCATAAAATCGATACACTTATATATAATTATAAGGATTCCTCCAGAATAAAATCCAAAACTGAGTGGACAATACATATCACGATGTTATTTTTCAATAATGATGATCCCCTAATTGACGACGGAATGGATAAACTTTGCGTCACATCAGTTAAATTACTTCTCCTCTTGGTTTTATTGATTGATTCAGATAAAAAATTGCAATGTTTGTAGCCGTATAATCTCAGCCATAAAAAAATTACAAGGAACAAAGCATCTGCGTGGAGATGAAATATCTTTTTCCTTCAGATGGAACAGCCAGAGTACCATATTGAATTGTGTCACAGTTTCTCATATTTTCCGAAGTTTTGGGATGGTCATAGTACACAAACTAGTAGGAGGGAGAATAGGAAGAATATGAGTCTAAAAATGCTGCAATATTGCTATTTTCGAAATGATTTATATTTACCTCACTTGTGCGGTTCAGTTTCGTCGTTATCTTGATGCAATATCATAGCCCACCGCCCCTGCTTCTCAAGCTCTGCATTTGAGGAGCGATCTGCCAAAACTCGTTGAATCCCATTCAAAATCGACCTCAAAGTCAAACAATTCAAGCAGAAACACACAAATCTCAAAAATCCAATGGCATTGGTCTGTTTTGGACAGGAAGAGATGAATTACCCAAAGTCGCCATTCCAGTAGAATTTTCAGACCTTCGTGTTATCAGTATCTTACCTTGCCTCTCGAAAATTTTTGAAAAAGTTCTATACAAACAAATACTTGAACATGTTGAAAATAATAAAATAATACCGACATGCCAGTCTGGATTTCAAAAACGCCTGAGTACAACAACATCACTAACGCAAGTTCTTGATGATATATTCTCCAATTTGGACAAAAGATGTGCTAGCATATTAACACTTTTAGACTTTTCAAAGGCATTCGATACTATAAACCATAAACTCATGATTGCTAAGCTTAAATACTATGGATTCTCGATTGACTCTTTGGAATTAATACAATCTTAATTTGCAGAGAGAAAACAAAAAATAGTATCGAATGACAGTCACTCAAATTATGTAAACATAACAGCAGGAGTGCCACAAGGCAGCATTTTGGGTCCCCTTTTCTTCATTATTTATACGGCGGATATACTGAAATCTATAGAACATTGTAAAATTCAGGCGTATGCCGATGACACCCAAATATTCATAAACTTTCCTAAAGATAATATTTTGGAGGCCCAAAATTGGTTGAATTATGACCTCAACATAATATTTGAGAAAAGTCGGGCTCATAATCTGAAATTGAACTCTTCTGAATCAAAAGTTATTGTCTTTTCTCCCAAAAATTATTATGATGAGATCTGCTCGAATTTTAACATAAGTATTGATAATAAGCCGTTAAGTATTGTCCACTCATCGAAAAATTTAGGTTTGGTATTCGATGATGACCTCAGATTTAAAAATCACGTTAAGCACATTCTAACCAGAACATTTATCTCTCTAAAAACTCTATACAGCAATAGGTACGTGTTGGATTTAAAACTGCGCAAAACTTTATGTGACAGCTTGGTCTTGTCCCAATTCGCTTATTGTGATTTTTTGTATGGTCCATGCCTTGATGGAAGTTATAGGTATAAAATTCAAAAGGTACAGAATTATTGTGTGCGGTTTATATATGGGTTACGTAAATATGATCACATATCTCAAAAACTAAATGAACTTAACTGGCTCACTATGGAAAAGCGTTTGAGACTTCACTTAGCTTTATTCATCTATAAACTCCTTAGGAATCAATCAGATGATAGTCGCTACCAGTTAATTCCGAGATCCAGCATACATTCGGTTAATATAAGACATCCCAATGCATTAACGATGCCTCATCATTCGACCGCCATTTATCAAAGAAGTTTCACATATAATGCGATCAAGTTGTTTAATTCAATCCCAGACCGCATTAAAAGCCTTGGTCCATTCTCCTTCCGAAAGTTCATTGAACATGAGCTACTTTCTTCACAATGAGTATTGTTACGATCTTCAATATGAATATTATGCACACATCCTCTTTTTTTTTCTCTCTGAGTAATGTAGACTCACCTTCCCAATTGGACAGTGAGAGGTTAGATGTAAGAGTAGCCTTAGGCTAAATCTCGCCTCCTGCTGGACAGTAAACAGTGAACAATGTTTTTCTTCTTTGTACAAATGTTTGTACAAATCTTTATATATTTTTTTGTATTATGGAATCACATGAATAAAGACGATTTATTATTATTATTATTATTATTAATAAGAAATTTAAATTATTGAATAAATAAATAAAATATAAAGTGCCTGATTTACGTGGAAGATTTTGTATTAAACAAAATTTCAATGAAATAAACACTTTTTACATCATGAAATCAGTTAACTCGAGCAGTAACAGATAAATTCATTTTGTAATTCACAGTATTTACTATATTTATTACCAGAAGAAAACAAAAACAGTATTTAAGAGATCTAAATCATCATATTTCAGATTTATATTCACCATTTATTATCTTGGTTGAAGTTTCGGACGCGCTAATGGATGGTTTTTGACTATCATCTCAAAACTCCATATAACTGGTCGTGTCTGATTATCTCAAAACTTCATGAAATGAATTCATCTGGATTTGGCTGATCGCTCCTCATTTGTTGACTTGGTTAAGAAATCAAATATAGACTATTTCAATTTTCGAATTCTATCGTGAATCTCAATGCTCATTTTCGTGATGAAGTTGTCGAACATTGTCGAAAAATAATCTTCATAATAGTCAGAATACTGGACGGACATGGAGTCCGAACGGTCTAAAGCACTCAAACTCGCTAGACAGCTGTTCACGATGACAAAGTCTGAGACAGGTCCAGCTGAACATTTTTCAAAATAATTTGTGGTGCTTGGTTATGATCCTAGCTGCTTCTTGGCATCCCAGAAGTGGTTAGTTTTTCACTTCAAGCTGTAAGTGCCGTTCATCTCAATCATGCAAAAGTTTCAACTTCTGGGAAGTAAGATACGGACTTCAGAGTGACGATATATAAAAAAATCTCTGATTATCGAAAGCAGTCTAGTTATCGTGAATCAGACTGCTTTCCATTTGATCAGAAGCTGTTACTTGAGAACCCTTCGGAATGAGAATTGTATATTTTCTCACCTTGGGAATGAGTTCAACAACTCGATAGAGTACTTTTGAAATACTTTCAATCTTCATCCTCGAGCATCCAAACATTTCAGGAAAACGAATCGAGTAATTGAAATGATGGAATTGATGCGCAGTGGCGTTCAATGATATCTCATAGTGATGTAAATATAACATATATGTATGTATATACATACAACAAACAACTTTTTCTGATAGGTATACGTTTTTGGAATACACAAAAATGGAAATATTTCCAGCGATAAATTTCAAATTTTGTTTCTTCCGACATGAAGTGAGAGCCACCTGGGTCTGACCAAGTGAAGCGTGTATAATTTTTTTGAGAGCAGAACGTTATGCCCAAGTCGAATTTTGAAATGAATTATCATCAGACAACTTCCTGCAGACACTTATATGAATCAGTCAACACAGTGAAACGTATGTCTGATATTTTGAGAATCAATCATTGAAATAGACAAAGTATCATTTCCTCTTATGCCATGAGTACAATGACGTCATAGTGATGAAGTTTAGATCAGGTTTTTTATATTCCAATAAAAATTGATCAGCTCAGGAAACAACTTTGAGGAATGTCGCTGGAATTGCGAACTGGTTATCAAATATTTCTGACCATAAAAAAGTCTGTTTTATGATTTCAACTCCGATATTGAAATGATGTGATACAATCCGAACAGATTTTGTTGGATTTGAATTGAGAACTTAACGAATTATAGATAGTCATGTTGAAAGTTGTATGGAGTATATAATACAGTTGACAATCCAGAATCATGTATAGCTTTGAATATGATAAGTAGAACATGTAGGTTAAGATGATCAAATGAACCATGATTATGGTGATAACATTCAGTTTAATCTTCTGCAAAAATCAACAGCATGCCCTTATTCTATATCTATTCGTAACTTTTATACACATTTCCAACAACATCCTTTGCATGACTCTACTTGAAGCTTACAGCATGTACACCATGCACTAACACTTGTAAATAAATGCAGACAACACACAAGCTCTCATAGCCCGCAAAAACCCAGAAGAAATAGAAAGAGAAAACCTTCAACCAAACCATCTGTACACAGTGAAGAATCTTCCACTGCGTCGACCTCTGGAAAGAGGTTTTCAGGAAGAAAAAACAAACAAAGCCGGGTCAGTAGCAGCGATCCAGTCAGCAGCAGCAGCAGCACCAGCGCCATCGGTAGCGGTTTCAGCAGGAGGTCATATAAGCCGAAAGTACAGGCTACTGCGGTTGATTCTTCTGGAGGATCGACTAGTTCCAGCTTGTATAAATTCAAATTGAACAGGTTTGTATTATTTCATATCATAAAATTGATAATAGAATCCCAAACGCGCTGACCGTTTCGAAGTAGAAATTCAGTTAGTTGTATTGAAGGAACAGGAAATACACTTCGAATTCAGAAAAATGTTTCGATTCAAACATCAATCATTGATGATGACCATAACCATTGAAGCAACGAGTGAAGCAGTGTTCCTATAAAGCTTCACATGAGCAAGATCGAGATGTCCAGTTCAGGGAGATGAGTTCGTGAACTGGATTAAACACTGGCAGTTGTTCGTCGCATTAGTTCAACCCCAATTTGTGAGGTCTGAACTTTATGCGTCGTCTTTCATCTAACTCATTTGGAATCTGCCAATTCCATTATCGTCGATGTAAATTATGTACTTTCGTGATATTCCACGAATATACTGGTGAAACTATTACAATTCGATTCAAGTCAGTGACAGTTGAATCACATGACCAGTTCGTAGGACAATAATGATTATGCGATCATCATTTTTGTCTCAAATATTGTGTACATCGATTTGTGTACCGACATGATGGACAAATATAGTCGACTTCTTATGGAAACATAACGATTCCTAAGTCAGAATAAACATTATGTAAATATCAATAATCATGATGAAGATGATCTATGAGATGTTATAATTATGTAGCCATAAGAGAGTCATCAGAAATCATCAGTTGACACAATCATGTGAGGAACAAGACATAAGTTGGTGAAACAGTGTACAGAACTTGTTTGAATGCTTGTTCTTTATGTGAGCATTTTGAAGCTTCGTCAAAAATAAGGTAGCTCCAGCTTTTATCTCAGACAGCACAGAATATTCTATGAATATTCTAACAACGTTCAAATATACTCATTTTGGAATATTCTATTAGAATTTTTCAAGAATGATCATGGAATATTCTCATTCTGCAACGAATATTCTATGAACATTCGATTCGACATATCCTTGAAATATTCTTCTGGAATATTCTGCGAATATTCTTTTTGATTTTCTGAGAATTGTATAGAAATATATGAAATTTATGTTCCTATTCTCGTTCCAATATTCCTAATGTTCACTCTGATACATCCTATTATTACCTAGCTTCAATGCTGATTATTTCACTGATTCATCGTTGTTATCTTGATATCCATTTCATCTATTCATGAAGGCGAAGTGGTGAGGTTCCAGGTCCGTGAAAATTCAATCACAAGATAGTGGGTTCGCATCTTCACCGGAGCAAGCTTTCTTAATTTTTTTGCCTTATTCTTCAATATACTAGGAATATCCTCAGAATATTCGAAATAGTCCATTCCGAATGTTCATAGAACGTTCCTAGACTATTTGTATCATTTTGTGGGAATATTCTGGAATATTCAAATATTCTCGAAGAATAATCTATGAACGTTTTACGAATGACATTGTGCTATCTGCGATCAGTCAACGAACATGTTGCAAATAATCTCAGAGAGTTTGAACACAAGTTATCAATATACGAGTACATTCTTCAATCAATCTTGAAATTAATTTCGATAACACTGATTTACTAAATAATCATACACTGATGTGTAAACAAATGTAGATACGGAAGAGGAAGACATCAGAATTGGATCTGAGTCATCGTAGAGTTCACATCATTCACATATTTTCGACGATGCAGTGTTGCCGCTTCTTTTTTTTTTTTTATCGATTGGAGCGCACGAAAGGGAATCCCTATAATGTTCAAAGAACATCGTGCGTTCCTAGGGGGAATAGGGACAGGAGGTAGGTATTGGAATTTTTTTTGAATTTTTTGAGATTATATGTTGTTGGGAATACTTCCACATCGATATTTCAAATGAAACACCCTGTATTTCATCGCATTTGCAGATTCTTCCTGAAGAGTTGATTCCATCGATGTATCACACTTTGGGTCTATCGAAAAAGATAACAGAGATATAGGGTGTTCGAAATCGAGATTTTTCAACTTCAGGATTTTTTTGTGTCGAAACTATTCTTCATCGGTGAAAACGGCTCACTTGTCCCTATCTCAACTTTTGATTCACTATTTATTCATATTTGATCGGAACAGATACAGGGTGGTTTAAGATTCAGAACTCTGATCACCCTGTATCTGTTTCGATTAAATATAAGTATATAGTAAATCAAAAGTTGAGATAGGGACATGTGAACCGTTTTTGCCGATAATGAATAGTTTCGCCACAAACAAAACCCAAAGTTGAAAAATCTCGATTTTGAACACCCTTTATCTCTGTTTTCATTTCCGATAGACTCTAAGTGTGATACATCGATGGAATCAGCTCCTAAGAAGAATCCAAAAATGGAATAAAATACAGGGTAATCTAATAGAAAAAACAAAGTTTCAAATAAAGAGAACGTATTGTGAAATATAAGCATGCATATTTCTATGTATTTCTTTCGACTGATTCTCGATATAGAGATAGTGTAAGCTCGTCGTGACATACCCTGTAAACTTATTTGATACACTCTTCTGAAACTTGAATTTTTATTCGTATGCATTGGTTCTTGAAACAAAAAAAAATTGTCTCTGCATGGTGGTTCGTCTATTCTCCTTTGTTCACTGTAAGCGTACTGCTGGATCCGCGCCTGTAAAACCCCCACTCATCTCTCTTGAAAAGAACAGTTGCATTTGAAATGAGCATATGCTTATTCTTATGATAAGAAAATCATATGTTGAATAAAAAGTAAGTTAGGAGAATGACAAACATTTTCTTGATTGACATATTTTATCCCTGAGGTTGGTTGAATTTCTATACCATAAAATATGTTCTACATATTTCTCTCCGTGATGTGTGTGTGAATCAGGGCGATAGACATTTCACACGATTTGTTCGAAATGATAAATTCATTCAAGTCCAAAAATGCACATATCATATGATCTCTGATGGAGATGTCATCATGAATTCCTATAAGGATGTAAAAAAAATTCAAATGACAAATTCGATTGTCAAAATGGATTTTGCCTCAATTTCCATTATTTGATAATTTGGGGACTCATAATAGTTCATCACAAAAACAGATATTCTCACAGTTGAATTGGTAAGGTAGAGTAGAGTCGGAGATTATGTAATACCGTTTTAATTTTTCGAGTTATTTCGGGAAATATAGAATGAAATATTGATTTGGAATCGTGATGGTGTGGCCAGAAGATTCTTTAGATCGAATCATGATAACAAACTTAGATGAATATTGGCACAAAAATAATAATTCGAATTATAAGAAGATACAACGTTTCCTTTATTTTGCTTCTAACTGCTATCACAGCACTTCTTTCAACTTCTTCATTCCACTTTTTATAAACTTTGTAGAGTTGTGATTCGCACTGTTCTTCAGTTTACTAGTTCCTTGGAGTATTCAATGATCATTTCGCCGTGTGATATGGCGATATAATTGCTGCCTCCATTACTTCGGAGGTTGGGTAGTTCAAGAATTTCTAATCTTCTAGAAAGGCCGCTATCCCATACTCATACTCACCTGAAGATTTCGTGAGCAACGAAATCACATCAACTATTGAATTTTCCAGAAACGATAGACACCTACAGAATGAACACACTTGTGGAAGAACTTGAAACTCAATGGAATCATATTTCATCAAAATGGAATGAAGAGCGCTTGTGATATTGTCTAAAATAGGGTATTCCATATTACCGAATATATTAAATAATCCCTGACTCAACTCTACATGAAGACCTATTTAGCGACACAACTGTGTAGGTAACTCTCCGCAAATATGGTCATTGGCGATGTGAAGTAGTCATGAAAGAAGTAATGTACAAGTATGAATCGAAATATTCTGATTGATATATCCTTGAAGTACTATCTCACCACTCCACTATTAAAGCTCCTCAATAAACTCATCTTGGCTGCTATCTCAACAGTTAGATGTGAGAGTATCAATACATTTTATATCTAGGAATCACGCGAATTCCGATAATGTTGGTTATTTTGTACCTACTAGGTGAAACGTCATGAAGTATCACGCACTTCAACTTTTTCATCCCAGAGAATATTTAAAAATATTCCTAGGAGATTTCTGTCACCCATTGCAACGGAAAATACGTTCTCAACATCTCAGAATATAATCTGAGAGTGGCAAAGAGTGTATAGTTTCGAAATAGAACTTTTGTATATTTCCTCACCACTGAAAAGAAATTTGGAAGAAATCACCAGAAATTGTTCACCCATTTTAATCATTATCTTTATTTCTTAATTGATGAGCATACAAACCAAAACAGAGATTTATGATGATTTTCGCGGATAGGTCATGACAACGATTCTGATGAAAAGAGTTATAGGGAGTGGTACATTATATTGTGTCACCCAGTTCTAATCAATTTCTCTAGATTGATTTCCGGGAAGGAAATACTCAGAATCACTTTGTATGGAGATACTTTGATGGGCATTAAATAATTTCGTTGTCAACTCAAAGTCACCCATCTAATTGTTACGATACAAAAACCAGCAATGCGGATTTATGTTCATGAAATCGAAGCGATGAATAAATTGGCCGTTTTTACTATACCACATCTATAAAACATTATTGAATGTCCTTGGACATAGCTGATATCATCAATATTGATTCTGAAATCCTTGAAAGCGAATTCTCTGGTTAGCCTATTGACTTCGCATCGATCATTTAGGAGGATTCCAGGTGAATTTTGGAATTCGGAACGGCCTTTATTCAATTTTTATGTCTTTCGTCACCTTCTTGGTTTGATACAGATTCCGTGAGAACAGTTTGGAGAGACTTGTGTGTATATCATTCCCAAATTTTGATTATCAAATATTTGATAAAAATACTGTGGTATTTCTGTTATCGATCAATAATTCAACATTCAACACAATGTGTCTTCTTCTTCTTCTTCGAAGTACTGGTGGATGGGTTAACACCCCTGCATCTAAACATTTGTGTATTTTCATGTAGCAATATATACTTGGAATGAGTAAAATCGATTTTGAGACTCCACATAATCCAGATACAGGGTTTTTATGAATTATTAAAATAACGTAGCGGTCATTCGGTTGTTTTTCGATTAGTCACTTTCCACGCATAGTGATTCAATTTATTATATGCATTTTCGAATTTCCATTTTCTCAATTGTTCATAGTAGAAGCCGAAAAATTACCTACAGCATCGCAATCCTGAATAAAATTACCGAACTAACTTCAGCTACATATTCTCAACTTATCTTTATTGCAGATCTCCAGGCAGATGGCAGTACAAGACGACGTCAAAGCCGCGGGTAACCATTCGAAAGCAAAACAACGACGAGCTCGCGAACAATAACGTAACGTTGGGATCCACTTCTTCTCCTCACGATGCCTCCCAGCTTCAAATCGATGATTCAGCTACGCCCCAAGCTCGATCAGACGACGTTGATAGTCTAGAAGGCTCTGAATCAATCGCCTCAATAATTGACGATGATAGTTCGACGGAAAATAAAGTCGATGCGCCCGCTTTTCCAGTGGAAACCGTTAAAGTGGAAATTTCTACGCCTCCGGACTTCGGGGATATCTATTATGAAATAGCGACCATCAAATCGCCTTATACATTTCAGGTAATGTGATTTTCGAAATGATTATTACGGAAGTCCAACTTCTCAACCCTCAACTGAAATGATTGAGATATTTTAGAACCTGTAAATAGATCTATGAGTTTCAGAAAGTGATCCTTTGGAGACTATGCTCATACAGGGCGATTCAGATTTTGAGAAACACACTGAAATAGGTGATAGATCTCAGCATTTTGAACGAAAAACTTTATTTCATCTCGATTAGTAGCGAAGGTACAAGGACCTCAAGTTCAATTATGTTTTTCTATTGATCATATCTCGCTCACTCTTGGGACAATTAATATGAAATGGGTCCGCCTAGCTATGTCATTACTGCTTTTCAATTCATTTTGCCATGACGACATAATAACAATTACTCATAAAGTTTGTGAAGCATAACCTGAAGGCTACACCGTGGATAAATTGAGATCATTCATCAATGTGTGTTACTATAACTGAAGCGTACATTTGCTGTTATTCTCCGAAACCTATTACAGGTGTGGAACCTCTCCATAAAAATTAACAATTATTTTAGTTATTCCAAGTATATATACGTGTTAGGTTTTTCTGAAGGCACTGGGAGTTCCTTTGAAAATAGATTTTTAGTAGTCAAGCATGATGGGAACACACCAGGAAAATTTTAAACTATAATTCTGAAGTACCACAAGGTTTCAATTTGGAACCATTACGTTCTGTTATGGTCATCATTGACTCGTCCTCAGTTCTTGAGTACTCGAGTTATTTTCGAGTTTCAGAAGTGTTTGTGAGTGTTAACTATTTTCAAATGATATGAAGATTTTTGGAAATAAATAACACTACCAGAGACTGTATTAGGTTGCAAAAGAACTTGGGATGTGTTCGTGATTGGAGCTGTATGAATAAACTATTTTTCAAGTAGAGAAAATCCAGTGTCATGAGCTGGGAAACCAAATAATATTTTATTATTCGATAAAAAATAAGGGATTGCAGAGTGTTAGGGAAATGAAAGACCTGGGTATTACATATGATATCTCTTTCAAATCATGTGAGAAATATTACTAAAGCAGCAAACCGTTTAGTAGGCTTCATAATAAGGCAGACATCAAAATTCACCAACATAGAGAAAATAGAGATTTTGTATCTCACTCTAGTCAGATCTAAACACGAATTCGGATCAGTTCGAAATAGAAAAAATCAAGAACCAATTCCCTAAGTTTATTATACAGGGTGAGTCATGACTAACCAGCCATAGCCCAATGGCGGATAGAGGAGGTCAAGGTGAGTTGATATATACAGGGTGTCCGCTTAAAGGAGGTCAATCCATCAACCATATATTCCTTGAACAAAAATAATATGAGTTTCTGAATACCATTTTTCATTTTAGCCCTTCTTATTCGATATATAGGGTGTCAAAGTTGAAAATTAAAAACAGTTTTTTTCTAATTACTCGCGTAATTAATAAGATATTAATCTCAAAATAGGAACATTACTTCAGCACAAAGAGTTACATAGTGTGAGGAAAACAAAACAGGAAATAACTGTCAAATATTCAAAATACTGGGGGTCAAGTACACACTTATCCCCATATTTTTTGTGTACGTGCGCTGATGACTTCCTATCTATTTTTCTCCATGTGTTCAATCATTTTTGAGTATTTTTTGATTTTTGTAAAATTCCGATGAAATTATTTGTTTTTAAGATAATTCGAAAAGTACTGGTTATTGTTTGATGCCTTGCGGCTTACGGTAATCTCATAATGATCACATACTCCTATTTATTTCGTCGAAATTGGAAGAGGGCGTATCTTATTACGTATGGAAAGGTGAATATGGAAATACCGGGTGCTCAGAGCGAATGTATTAAAATAATGTTTACACTTTTTAATTTTTTTTTTTTTGTGAAAATTATTTTAGTACATTTGCTCCGAGCACCCGGTATTTCCATATTTACCTTTTCGAACGTGAGAAGATACGCCCTCTTTCAATTTCGACGAATTAAATAGGAGTATGTGAACATTATGAGATTACCTAAGCCGCATAGGCATCAAACAATAACCAGTACTCTTCGAATTATCTTAAAAACAAATGATTCAATCGAAATTTCACAGAAAACAAAAAATACTCAAAAATGATTGAACACTTGAAGAAAAATAGATAGGAAGTCATTAGCGCACGTACAAACAAAATATGGGGGTAAGTGTGAACCCCCAGTATCTTGAATATTTGACAGTTATTTTTTGTTTTGTTTTCCTCACACGATGTAACTCTTTGTGCTGAAGTAATGTACCAATTTTGAGATCAATATCTTATCAAATACGCGAGTAATTAGAGAAAAACAGTTTTTAATTTCCAACTTTGACACCCTGTATACCGAATATGAAGGGCTTAAATGAAAAATGATATTTAAAAACTCATATTGTTTTTGTTCAAGGAATATGTGGTTAATGGATTGACCTCCTTTTAGCGGACACCCTGTATATATAATGAAATATTTTTTTACTATTCTTTACAGAAATACAGAGCATTATTTGAATTCGGGGCAAAACTCCAATAAACGATATTTCAGGAACGTCTCGATGTTATCGGCTGAAATTCACTAGCAACTCACCTCTAATGACACTCCACAAGATGACGTACTATGAATGAAAAATTCCAGATCCGGACTTGGAAAACTCATTTCCTCTTTAGATGTCAAAATTTTGACCTTCTGGATCGGATTTTTCGAAAACTTTTATCAGTATCAGAGAGATCAGGAAAAATACTACAAGTATGGCTCCTCAATTCGTACGGCACACTTCGATCGTTTTGTTAAAAACATATCAAACAAAATACCGATGAATTTTTCTTCGATTTCGTTTAGGCATATTACTCTCTACATTCGACTAAAAGTAATCAAATCAAATTTTTCCTTAGAAAAATTCAACACCATACTAGAGAAAAGGTATAATTCAATAAAAAATTCAGGACTGGACTTGATTTTGGAAAATATCAATCATCACAGTCGTGGCGGCCCTCATTCTTGGCCTCCTAGGTCCCCTGATCTCACAGTTTTGGACTATTTTCTTTAGGAGCGTATGGAACAATTGGTCTATCAGACTGAAGTCAACACCAGAAACGAACTGAGGGAGAGGAGAGTTACAGCTGCAGATATAATCAGAAATGATAGGCAAATTATTGGAAAAGCCATAAGAGATCTCCCGAAAAGATGCAGAAAATGTATAGAAATTGGAGGAGGACATTTCGAGAATCTTGATTAATATTAAGATCCAGACAAATCTTTTACGGAAATTATAATTGTTATTTTCCAAAATCAAGTCTGGTCCTGGATTTTTCATTGAATTATACCTTTTCTTAAGTCTGCTGTTGAATCGTTCCAAGAAAAAAATTGATTCAATTACTTTTAGTCGAATTCAGAGAGTGATATGCCCGGACGAAATCGAAAAAAAATTCATCGGTATTTTGTTTGATATTCTTTGACCAAAACGATCAAAGTGTGCCGTACGAATTGAGAAGCCATACTTGTAGTATTTTTCCTGATCTTTCGGATTCTGATGAAAGTTTCCGATAAATCCGATCCAAAAGGTCAAAATTTTGACATCTAAAGAGAAAATGAGTTTTCCAAGTCCGGATCTGGAATTTTTCAGTCATAGTACGTCATCTTGTGGAGTGTCAGTAGAGGTAAGTTGCTAGTGAGTTTCAGCCGATAACATCGAGACGTTCCTGAAATATCGTTCATTGAAGTTTTGCCTCGAATTCAAATAATGCCCTGTATTTCTGTAAAGAATAGGCAAAACATATTTTTTTACATATATATCAACTCACCTTGACCTCCGCTATCCGCCATTAGGCTATGGCTGGTTAGTCATGACTCACCCTGTATATGAAGAAGGATTGATAGGTATCGAATTTATTTCTACTACAATATAGAAAGAACTCTCCAATTGGAAAATGAGTTCAAAGTGATGTCTTTGGGCGAACGAAGCAATCTGAATATGAAGATTTCTTTATACAAATTATCGAATAACAAAATCAACTCCTCTGAACTGCTCCCTTGAATCAGGTTCATAATATGCCTGCAAGACGACCACGAAATATCCTTATGTTCAGTGTACCTCTAGTTTGTACTACCACAATAAGGGCCCCACTCATGATAATGTTTAGACTTGCCGAAAACAATCAACTCAATGATAGATTGAGATTGGTCATTGTCAATGGGAGGATTCAGGAAAATCGTTACACAGCATATCAACAATTTCAATGAGAATCAAAATCGAAATTGCAATTTATCAGACTATGAGTTATATTTGGTATTATTTATTCATCATAGAAAGTTTGTTATTCCAAAATACTCATTCATGTAATGATGCCTCGTTTGGCCTGTTCGAATAATGAATAAATAAATCACAAATAAAACATAGATGTCCAGAATTATACAGGAATGCTTATAACGAGTTAGTTATACGCTGAATGGTGAATATGTTTGCGGGCACTAAAATTACACTTCACACCCGTTGAACAAGCGTTATATTGCTACTTCACGCTTCGTCGTGCATAAATATGTCTCAACTAATCAACAGCTGAGAATGGAATTGCTAGCATTATTAGCAGAATTCAGCCTCCTTTGAGTTGCAACAATTGAACTTCTTAAAGATATTCGAATTCGAAGTTCTTGTCGAGTCATGTCCAATCTGGAGATTTAACCGATTGCTATGACAAGTCCATTCTCATAATCGATTTCACAATACTTCATTCCACCACCAGCTGAATGAATATTATTTGGACGCTTCGACACGATGTTTCATACTAGACGAAGCTTGATAATAGTTATTTGTATGCATAGGCCCCAGAATAAGTTTTGAGCTTGCCGACAGTGAAGTTATTATCGAGGCCGTTTGCGGAAGGAACAAGAAAGTTTTGAGGTCGCCGAAGAGTTTCGCTATCATGATGCATACACTATCATTCGTGCAATCCCTCAAATCAATGAACCAGATATTCACAAATGTATATCTTATCGTTAGGAGATCAACAATCGTTTCAATTGACAATAAATATCATGTTATGCCTAGGTTGGCAGCGTACGGAACACCCGCTACATAACCGTCACTTCCACCTTCGAAAAGAGCCTCGAGCACACCCCAGATCTCCCCTCCGTCAAACCTTCCGAGCCCCTCACCGAGAACATCCTTGCGACGTCGAGTAATTACGCCAAGGACAACAACTTCCTGGATTCGAGCGTCGCGACGCTCCCTCCCATCTATCTCGCCGCCGACATGGAAACGCCACCGCTGGAGACACTAACCGAGACCTTTAGCACCACTCAGACCGTGTTCAAGACGCACATCCTGCCTGTTATACGATACGGCAACGAGACGAGCAGTTCCACCTTAGTGCAGACTTACTTGATAACGAGGTGAGTTCGAGAAATTAGATGACGCTTCTTGCTAGGATTTCAGACTCTAGGGACAAGCTTCTGTGCAAATAATGAGGGACTATACTCACCTTGAATATATCTTGTGGATTTCAGTTATCACCGCATATCTCATAAAACAGGAGCTCACATATTCGATCAGAAATTGCTGAAAAAAACATTAAATTATGAGTTACGAAATATCAGCTTATACATTTCTAATATCTGTGGATGTGATTCATTTCATTCCAATTATAGTCGTTCTGGGATAATCACTTCCGACCAAAAATTCAATAATACTGGAGAACAAATATGTTTCACGTTCCAGAATGATCAGATCACTCAGCCGAATAAGTGAATACAAACATAAGTATATATTTTCCGATCTAGATTTCACAAAAATTTTGGATATTGAATAATTTGAGTAGGGTGTTTTATTTGGAAAAAGATTCGCAGACATGAACTCAATTGTGGATCACCCTGAAAATATTTTTTTTCCATAACTGTGGCGTGGCAAAATTGAAATCGACATTCTCCATGATATCCCTGAGAAATGGATACTCTGACAAAAAATTAATTCATTCATTACTTCACGAGAAGAATATATTTCATTAATATCCAATTCCAATACGCATATTCATGTTGATGATTGGGATGTGAAATTCACTGGAGATTCAATTCTAGAAATGTAACTTCTGGTCATCACAATATTTTTGCATCGGAACACATGAAGTATTCTTGTTCCTAGATGCCATTTCATTATCATCGAAAAATCTAGTGAATCTACTGTTCCTCTTCTTGGAGTTTCATGAACCCTTGTCTGTCCTGTTCTCTATAGATTTCTTAGATCAATACTATATTCTTATTCAAGCGACCTACGTCGAACGTAACTTCCATAAGTTCTTGTATTGAGAATTTTTTTTTTCATTCCATATCATCATTATTTGAATTTGATTGTAATTCATCATTGAATATCCAATTCCAAATTTTTCCGACTTCATGTTACCATAATTCAAATTCAATTGTGATTTATCCACTTATATCCAATTTGCCAACTTTTTTATATTGTTGTAGGTCGCTTCAACCTAGTCATCGCCTGATGATGAACTCTTTGTATCCGAAACAGGTGACCTTTCGTTATGACACATACCACGTTATCAAATTGCGTAAAGTTGATTTAGAGATGAATTTTCCTTACTTCAAAGTCTACAATCCATTTTGAAATTTGTGGCCTATTGTATCCGTGCACCACAGAATATTTGATCATGAATTCGTCGTGATGAATACATCAATCCTGATATACTGCTTCAGAATCACTCGAAAAACAAATATTGTATTTTTTTGCAGATTAGTCACTGCTACAAAAACCCTACCACCAATGGAAGCTTATCAATTCATCCCAAGCAGAACTCTCAACGAATTCAATAGCCGGTTAGATGAAGCTGGCTCGGAACTTCATCTCGAATTGGAGTTTGGCGACCAGAATGACGAGGACGGAGGACAAATCAGGAAAGTATCTCTACCATCTGACCTCGATCTGGCAAATATTGGATCCAACTTCGACTTCCCAGACGTTGACCGATCAAAAATTTTTGAGGGCCACGCTAGGCCCAAGAAGAACCAATCTCCATTCAGACCACCTATGAATGAATTATCCAATCAAGGTTTGAACCAAGATCAACTCCAGCAGTTAGCCTTATATAGGTTTTTGAATCCTGGAACTCAAGGCCAAGTTATCACAACCTCCAAACCAATATTGAAGCTAGAGACGTTGTATGAGACATTTGTCTTACCTGTAACGCAAGGCCATAATACCATCCAGAGTACTATTTCGAAGTTCAAGGGTACGATTACTAGAACCGAGTATGAATTTGGTACAAGCACGATTGCTCCAACTTTGCCTTTGCCACCAATCCCTCAGTTGCCACCTCAACTACCACCTCAGCTTCAGCAACAACTTCAACCGCAGATTCAACCACAACTTCAACCGCAATTACCACAACTGAACCCATTCTTGCCTCAACCCCAATTTGCGGTTACTTCATCACCAGTTGTGCAGACAGTACAAGTAACGCAAACAAATAGTAAGGTTCTGAAGTTGACCTTCGGTGCGAAAACTGCGCATACAACTGTGTACTCGACAGTAGTCGTGCCAACTACTGTGACCAGCTACATCACAGCATCAATTCAAGTGGCCCCAACAGCTGCATACCCCGGATATTTCCCTGCACCGTTCCCTGGATATCCATACGTTGGGTAATTTTTGTTTGTGTGTGATCAATCAAGATGGACGCATCAAGTTAGTAGTGACTTATAATATAATGCAGACTTGTTTTATATTTCGTTTTTTTCGAAGATGTTGAATGGACACAAAGTGCGAGTTAGCATCCACAACCTCACATTCATAATTTGTATATATGCATATATCATAAATCAATTAAATTTGCTCGAATCAGATGTATATCCCCAAATTGATGAGAAGGGTTTGTATATTGTTCAGAATAGGTAAGGCATAGTATAGTTTTGTACTGATCATGTTATTTATATTATATCATTAATGAGTTGATAAGTTTCTTGTACATTTTGTAATTCTCTCACATTAGTATTCGATGTAGAAATATGGGATCATTAAACATGGAAAATATGTTTATTCTTCATTCATTATTCTCCTTTCACAGGTACTGATATAGCAAAAAAAACTGGAATGGAGAATACATGACCGTGATTGAAATCTCGAAAAGTGATTTGATACTAATGATCAAACAGATGAGTATCATCATGTATAGGTACTTGGAATGAGAAAAAATCATTCCCACTATACTGTCCAGTTGAAAAATCGTAATATGGCAAAAATATACCGCAATCCTTCAGGTTTAGATTTTTTCTAAAAATTGCGTCAATATTCTATTTTCAGATGAAACATCCAAATATTCAATTCTAGAGTTCTAATTCAGGGTCATGATCTCCTTGAGTGATATGGAGTGAATCGAATGAATATATCGATGGCTACTCCAATGCTAACATCATTCATACAAGGTGATATCGACATCACTGGGCAGGGCGCCATTCAGTTGTTTTTCGAGTCATAATTTCAGAACTTGGATCGATGAAATAGTTTCGTCAATCACAACATCTTCTTCATTGAAAACAATTGAATGTCTAGGCTCCACTGGAATTTAACTTGGGTTGAGAAGTTCGAATTGAACCCTGTATATATTGTCACGCCAATCAATGAAGCAAATCAAATAATTCTCAGTAATATATCACGAGAGGATATCTGATTTCAAGATGGTTGCGCAGGAAACAATTTGTTCAAAAACGATATGGCGACACATTGACGTCATCGATCGATTTCATTTCCAACAAACCTGATGAAATAGCGGATTGGCGAAGTATGTTCCTGATGAAACATGAAATAATTTCAATGCATCTATATTCAAGATTCATTTCTGGCAATTATCCTTTCAAATTACATGTTTTTATTGAATTTCCACTTGTGATACCGTCAGGAGTTGAATTATTTCTGGAAAGTCTTTAGAGCGTGTGTGAAAATTATTCCGAAGTCGAAATCGTGTGGTATTCGGTGGAAACATCACACAGCAGATTGTATTCGGGAATCGAATGTCTTCAGAATCAATTCATTTATATTATGTTCAAATAGGTTCATGGATAAATTCAGTTTGAGTTGCAGTTTTGGCACCAATAATAGTTTCCAAGCTTATACAATTCGCTTATTTATTCATTATTGAAGATGAATGAACAATGATTTCTAGGATATCACATATTATATTCTCCCATTTCATATCAACTTTGGGATACTACAAATAATAGGAAATTCCAATGTTATCTATTGATTTTTCATAGGTAGTTACATACATAATAACGTACAAGTACTAGTAGTAGAAGTGAAAAGGGAGTCGGTCGCCTAGAAAATAGGCCCTCATGAGCCCATTTTGATGACCTTTGCTGCAGACATAATTATTATTCCTACTCCTAATTCTCGAACCTCCGTAACCTTCCGATGGAGGTCAGTATAATATTCGTACGCCGACCTGAGAATGAAGAGATCTATATGTTGAAGCGTATCAGCACCAAATATATTGAATCTTTCATTTCATGATACGACTTTCACTGGTTCAGGTAGTGGTATGACATTCTCTATAATAGATGCAGTTTGGAAACAATGGATTCTAAGCCATTCAGTTGTTGATTTCTACTCATTGTAGTAAAAATTCACTATTTCTGGATGTCAAAGTATTATTCTGTCATTGAAACGTCGAAAGAATTGCATCTCGCTGGTGGGCACCCACGGAAAAAAATTTCATTGAAATACATACGTTTCTGTAGTGATTTGTCGAATGAACTCAATTTGGTAACGTGAACAATACTGGTGTGGAATAATTTTGAAAATGGTACTTACTCAACGTAACATTGGAGTAAAGGTCGTTATATGAATTTGAATGCTCACATACTTTGAATCTTATATTCATTTTCAATTAGAAAATCATGGAATGCTCTCTATTTAATTAACCCAACCTGAATTAATAACTCCAATGTTTTTTTTAAGAAAACAAGAGTAGTCTGTCAAGCATTTATGAATGCCTAATGACCAATACTTTGCTGTTCATCATCGAAGGAATCCTGATTGGTGTTGAATGAAAATGTTTGCATGTTCCATCGAATCAATATGCTTCGCCTCTTTTCATGCATCGATGACGTTACATTTTCGCAATATTAATTTTGACCAAAATGTCTTCCGCGCCGCCATTTTGAATATAAATGTATACTCATATATAACTGCTCTATCGAATGGCTAAGGAAGATATACAGGGTTTTATTCGACCTGAGTTAATTTCCGGTGAAACCGGAAGTGAAATCCACTTGTTTTTATCATGGGGAATATGGGTTTCAGAAAACGATATCATCGATTGAAATTTCGAAGTTTCAACTTGATGACAACTCAATGACGCCCTGTACAATGATCTGGTTCTCACCCAGTGTAGTCCTAGTAAATGCATCTGAGATCAAATAATTTTTCAGAATTGATCTAAATAGCTCAATTCGAAAAAATTGGCCATTTTCACATCACTTGATATTCATAAAGTTATGAAAATGTCTTGATGTTACATACGATTCGATAAATGCAAATGATTTGAGTTATAAATCTCTTGATATTCAACAGGAAACGAATACTTTCCTGGCTATTTGCCACGTCGAACATTGAATTGTTAAACATCCCAGAAGAGAAAATGAAAAATGAAAATCCTCTGAAATTGAGAATTGACACTATCTCTCAAATAGGATAGAATACTATGACGTGGCGAATAGCCAGGAGAGTAGTTGTGTTCTGTTGAATATTCAGAACAATAATATGTGCATATCTTCGAATGAAGGAGAATGCAAGAAGATATATCAATTTTGTCCTTGGCTATTTCTATTATTATTCATCGATGAGGTTCGTAGCGCAGTAGAAAAGGTATAAGGTGAAAATTCAATCACAATGGAGTAGGTTTGCATAGGAATCACTAGATAGTATTAGTTAGATAAGAGTTTGTACACAGCTGAACTTCTGTCTTCTTCTTCTTTCTATAATACAATGGTTTGAGTGAATGAAAGGATAAGTTACATATTCTGCCATTTGTCTTCTCAATTTTCCCAGAAACACTGACCGTTGTCATTTATGTGTCCAAACTAATACCATCCAGTGACTCTAGTTTGCATCTCCTTCGGAGCAAGCTTTTTCCATTTATTTCACTGAAAGAATAGTCAGTAGGAAAAACCAAACGTTCAGGGAAATAAGCGCCAGTCACTACATTCATTTATTGATACTACAACGAAATTGTGTAATGCTATACTATATCGAAAATTCCGTACACAGAATGAAATTGTAATGATATTTCCCTTAGAAGGGCCCTAGAAACATCTTCAGGAAGGTAGGAGTACAACGATCATCCCATAACACGCATCCCAGATTGTTCGTCAACATCTCAATCATTCCTTCCTCTACCAGCATATTTCCGAACACTCAATATATGCCGCGGTGACAAATAACGTGGCATAAGATTCTGTAATGTTCTGGAAACAATCGATGGGACAGAGAGAGAAAGAGATGTATTGTTCTGAGAAGCTCCTAGAACGAAGAGAAGGGTACGGAAGATCATTTGAGAACCTTCGAAAAGCAAAGCCTACCAAGGGATCTCATATATAAGACGGCCAAACAACTGCAGTCAGCCAATCAAGCAGCGGTTGTCAGAGAGACAGCCATACATCGCGTTTTACATAAATAGTGGTTATGCGTTCGATATTAATTGAAGTTCCTTGAGTTGAAATGAATCAGTCCAAAAATAGATATTGTCGTGTTCGCTCCTGAACCGGAATAAGGTGACGATTGGTGTCAGAAGTGTGGGATATTTCAGTGTGAGGTGAACAGACCGTTACAACGGAGAAACTTTACGAGTTAGAAGTGATGGACTCAAAACGCGAAATGGAGGAGAGATATCTCGACACAACCGGGATCAAGGCTACACTTCGGCATCGTCCCAAAGAGTATAATTATGGTGAGCGTAGGTCAAGATCCAGAGACTTTCACCTTCGAGGAACCACCTTCATGTTGGCTGGGATCCCGGCACAGATTTCTGCTCAGCAAGATCAGATCGCCTCTCATATCTCAGTTCAACGGCAGGAGGTATTGACTAAGATAACAGCTCAAGTCGCGACTCAGATAGAAAATCTGAAGAAAGAACTGCAGCTCGGGGAAGATGAACTAAAGTTCAAATCTCGCAGGAGTGGTCAACGACAAAGACGACAGTGGCTACTACCAAACGAGTAAAACCGCCTCCATTCGATGGAAAAACATCGTGGTCAAACTACCTGAAGCAGTTCGAAGCAGCTTCCTAAGCCAATGGGTGGACATCAAAAGACAAAGTGGTAGCATTTACAGTAGCTTCATGGGGTGATGCACTAAACATCTTGCAAGCCATTCCGGAGGATAGATCCGATAGCTGATGATTATCTCATCAAACGTCTCAACATGCAAAATGGTCAAAAACATATACAGTCAGTGTTACGATTAATAAAGAACCGTCAACAGGGAGACAATGAGAGACTAGAGGAATTTGAAATGGAAGCAGCTCGGTTGGTTCGGTGTGCCTACCCATCAGCTCCTGAGTATCTGATAGACTGTCTCGCTGTCCAAAGGTTCCTGGATGGATCGCGAGATATGGAGATGCAGAAAGCAGTTCGGTTGACTCGACCTGAAAA